GCTGTTCAATAATACCGTGCAGGACATTCTGGGGGTGGCGTCGGCCATGCTGGACGGGGAGTTGGAGTACCGCAGGGGAAATGTCGACGAGGCGTTTGTGAATCTGGAACGAGCCATCGAGCTGAATGACGCGCTGCCGTTTGACGAGCCCTGGGGCTGGATGCAGCCGGTGCGCCATGCCTATGGCGCGCTGTTGCTGGAGCAGGATCGGGTCGAGGAGGCGGTCGACGTGTATGCGGCGGACCTGGGGTTTAGTGACCTCCTGCCGCGCGCGCTGCAGCATCGGGGCAATGTGTGGGCGCTGCATGGGTATTACGAGGGGTTGGTCAAGTTGGGACGGGTGGCTGAGGCGAGGGTGGTGAAGCCGTCGTTGGAGCTTGCAGTTGCCGGGGCGGATGTGCCGATCAAGAGCAGTTGCTTTTGTCGGAAGGGTGGGGTCAACAAGGAGAGGGTGATGTTGTAGGGCGTGGGATGAAAAAAAAGGGATGAAAGGGGCATGAAAATAGGGACATCAAAAGGGGCACATCAAAAGAAGGCATCAAAAGGAGGTATCACGAAGGGGCAGTAAGAACGATACTCATGACACCACCAGGATCTTCAATTCGAATATATATCCAAAGTCCTCTTCGTCCTCAAATCCAACTCCCTCCCCCCCAACCTCCCAACATCAACCCTCCCCACCAACCACGCGGCAAGGACCATCAGCCCAACTTGCACCGCCGACGCCGCACACAGCACCGCGGCAAACGCCGCGGGCAGCTCTAGCACCAGCCGGACCCCCTGCCGCGGCTGCCCGCCCGGCACCAGCACCCTGGGATTCGTCTGCGCCGCGGCCGCGACCACGCCGACGGCGAATTTGGCCACCATCCGGCCCATGCCCGCCGCGCTGTTGTTCTGCGCCTCGCCAAACTGCAGCCCTAGCGGGTACGACGTGTACTCGGCCGTGCCCGCCTCGCTGTCGGGCGCGTACAGCTCGGGGGTGATCTGCCCCGAGAGCGCGATGGCCTGCGCGGCTACCGCGGCCGCGGCCGGGGGCAGGCGGGAGGTGGCGTCGGTGACGGTGATGTTGCACTCGTAGTAGAAGACGTTGGAGGTCGGGTGCACGAAGGAGCCCGGGGCCGGCGGGCCCGCGTAGGGTTCCAGCGCGTGCACCGTGCTGCATCCGGGTCCGCAGGTGCCGGTGCTCGGGGTTTCCGCGTTGAGGAGGGGCGCGGTCAGGTAGTAAATAGACTCGACGCCCATGGCGATGAGGGGGAAGGAGACGGTGCGGTTGTTGGTGCGGTGGCGGATGTTGGCGAGCTGCGTGGTGGTGTTGGTGGCGAGGTCGTAGGGCGGGGTGGCGCAGATGGCGGAGGAGGTGACGGAGGCGTTGGTGTGCACCGAGAGGAAGTTGAAGTTGCCGAAGACGGCCGAGGGGGCCGAGTTGACGTAGACGTACTCCCAGTGGTCGGTTTGGTTCCAGATGGAGAAGGGGTATTTGGCGATGGGCTGGTTTGTCAGGGGGGAGGGGGGGAGGGTCGAGTAGTTGTAGCTCCCGCCGATGTCGCCGAGGATGTGAGCGGCGTATGATTGTGGGCCTTCGCCGTCGTTGAATCGTCCTGGCCGGGCGAACTTGCTCATGTCGGGGATGGCAACCATGTCGCTGGGGTTGGAGGTGACGTAGATGTCCTCGACCCCGGGGTCCCCTTTGTAAGTGAGACCGAGGGCGGAGATGGCAGCTTGCAACGCCTACACAAGGTCAGGACATGGAACTCAACGATTACAAGGTTTGATGCTTACGAGATTCAGGACTATCCACAAGGCGCAAACCGTCTTTACCATGGGCCTGGGTGATCGCCAAAGCACGCCCAGCAACGACATGAGACTGTGCAGTTCGACCTGACGGTTGGTTCGTCAGCATCGCCTCGATACTCCGATCTTATCCCTCTCGGTGCATACCTCATCGACGATCATGTATCCCTTCCCCAAAAACCACCATCTCATGTGGATCGCAACCTCTTTCAACGAGGCCACAAGATTGAGACCCAGCGCGATACTGATAGCTACAATCAGGGCATCAAATGTCGACTTCTGATCCATGCTCAAAGTCCGACCCGAGTACAACAGAATGGCGACGTAGTAAAGCGCACTCAACACGGCGCCAACAATCCATCGTACCAGCCCAACCCAGATAAAGCGACGGGTGAATCCTGGGGCTGGTATGCTCGGGTATGAGCGATGCTGTTCGAGCTCATTTCCGAAAGTCGAAATCGTTTGCGTCCTGTCATGTAGAACATTCTCGTAAGAGGTCTCAAAAGGGTTGGCTCGGAAGCTGTCCCTTGTTGTGCTGGTGTTGTGGTTGAAAGCAAGCGCTTCCTGGCTGGATTCCTGGTGACCTAGCCAGGGCCTGTTTTGAGGCCCGCCAAAAGGTCGAGGCATGGCGGGAACAAGTTGGTGTACATGAAGTCGTTTTGGTTTCGATATTGTCGACGGAAAACATGTAGCGGTACGATGCTGCTGTCGACAGCGTCGTCCTTATAGAACAGCAGAGAGTGCCGTCCAAACAGGTTCTCCAAGCGCCTCATACGTCGTACAGCCCTCTTCCCGCTGCTGCAGACCAGTGGTGGTTGCTAATTCGGGGTGGCAAGGGTGCTGCCCTGGCCAATCACTGCGCCTGCAGCCGGCCATGTCACAGCGATCTTCATCCTTCCGTTGCGGCCTGGAGCTGGTGGGCTCGCTTCGCCACCACAGCTGAGGCACCAAGCTGCCATTTGCTTGCGAATGCGACAACTTGACACAGTAGCGTAAAGCATTTCGTCCAATCTCTCCGACTGTAACACATGCTATAATACTGCTAGTCTGTGACCACTAGAGGATGAAAACTGCCATGTCCCAACACAGAATTAAAAATCCCAATCACTGACAAATGTTCATTCCCACTGAAACACATGACAACACACAGCTCAGTTCATCTTCATCATCTTTACACTCTCAACATAGTCCCCGGTCCCATTCATTACTCGGATCCGCATCCTTGGCCTGGCACACGCTGCCCGCCTTCCCCTCTCCCCTCGCGCCATCAATGCGCATCCACTTCCTGCGATCCGTCGCCTTCAACAAGTTGGTCTGCGCATCATCAAACCACCCATTAATAAAATCCCCATGCAGACAAGCCCCCTCGCCAATCTGTCCATCTCATTAGCGTCATCCCAAAACATCACAAGTCGGGCAGGTACTGCTCGCATCCCCACAGGCCAACTTCAGCGGCGGCACGCCCGTCCACCCCTTCGGCAGGATCCCCCGGACATCATAGCGGATCGAGAACCTCAGCTGCGGCATCCTCTTCATCCCGCCCGCACACCGGCCCCCATTCGCCGCCGCATACCCATACCTCTTGATATCGCTCGGATCCACACAGTCGGGGAACCGCAGGATGGCCTGGATGTGCGTGCTGCACGTCACGCGCGGCAGGCTCGCGCGCGGCCGCGACTGGCGGTCCTCGGGCCCGTTCTCGCACCACCAGGTGATGCCCGTCAGGCTCTCGTCGACGTCGGCCTGGCCCTTGGCGCTGGCGTTGCCTGCCACGGCGTAAAAGTCGCGCGGGAACGGCACCTCGGCCTTGTCGATGTTTTCGTAGTAGGTGCTGAACATGACGGGGTTGACTTCGGTGTAGTTGTCGCCCGCTACGTGGTACAGCGTTGGGGCCCCTGTGATGCCAATGGGTTAGAAGGGTGGGGGGGGGGGGGGGGGGAGGAGGGAGGGGAGAGGGGGGACGGACAGTAGACGGAGAGGTCGTTTGGGTTTTCGCCCGAGGCGCAGCCTTGTTGCAGTTGTTCGGTGGTCGGCAGGTTCTTGGTCACCACGTCGGACCCGTAGAAGGACTGCATGTGCGACCTGTATTTGCCCGGGAGCACGATCGGGTCGATGTTTTTCACCATGAAGCGCCTCAGCATGGGCCTGCCGATCATTCCCAGCTGCGCTTTTGTCCGGCGTCATTTTTTGGAGTCATGACATCTTCTCTCCGGCCGACTGCCAGAATAGCATTTTGGCAGACGCGTCGACGCAGCCCTCTCCCGATCGCCTTCAACTAGAGGATCGGTTATTGAGAGAGCCATCGCCAAGCTTCACGCCATGAGGTGCGGTTGAACTACCCGGTGTAAGCGGCGGCTGTTGCCGCCAGGAGGGCGATTGAGGTGAGGGCGTTGCGCATCGTGCCTGCAGGGCTATGACTACCTTCTTGTCGCTCGAGGGAACGTCAACGTGGGGGAACCTGGGGTGTTCAAGATGGGATGGGGCGGCGAACTGATATAGTTGCCGGCAGGTAGGTCAAGGATTCCCCAGAGGCAAATGCCATATTGCAGGGGCAATTAATGCTTGGCAGTATACCGAGGATACAAGGGCAATATAGGGGCTCCTAGGAGCCGGTTATTACGAACCTTCGACCTCAGCACAGTTCGCCAAGCCATTTAAGTATCAAGGTATATATTGATCGGCCGTACACACCACACGATTCCCATTCGTGGGCAATGTCTCCCCGGTGTTACCGTCGGAGTTCAGATGCATGTATGTCAGCAAGAGAAAAGCCCACCAATGCCTCATCACCGTCATCGAGTCTGGGTTGGAGCGATCCTCGACAGTTGTCTTCTTTTGATATGCGACCTAATTTTGAGCGTTGGCACCTCCTTCTATTGTACATGCATGAGCTGGTTTTGGGACGAGAAAGGATGTGGTCTAATGAATCCTAAGTTTGTTGCGCTTTCAACGCATGGGATGAAGGTAGAAGAAGAAAAAATCCAAGAGAGCAGCTTTCTGTAGCAGTTTCGCTGCACATCATCATAATTTAAGTGCTGCCCAAGATAATCCAGGTACCTAATTTTGAGTCAACGTTTTAGTGCCGGAGCAAGTTGCTAGTTAGTATCAATTTTCTGACGGCTAGGCAGCCAGTACAATCGGGGTTTGACTTGAGGACATCTTTATTAAAAAACACGATCATTAGCAACAATACAAAACATCAATCAGTAGGCCCGCTGGCCAAATGGTAAGGCGTCTGATTTCGGTTACTGAAATCATAAACTCAGAAGATTGTGCGTTCGAGCCGCACGTGGGTCGAAACTACTATTTTTGATGTGCAGCGCATTGTCAGTTCTTTTTGCATATCTGGACAATTTCATGTGTGTTTAAACATTAACACAGGATGACAGCAATGCTGTTTGTCAAGACGAGATAAATATCTCTTCCCATGGTTTCGGTGCTAGCTTACCATATATTTTCGGCCAACGAAATCGTGCATGCAGCCACTGTTAGCTTACTCTACTAGAAACCCCGCTGTCTTGGTACCATGATAGTAGTAGAAAAAGACGTCCATTGCTGCCGGTATTAAAGTTCCGCTATAGAGAGCCCAAACCCCACATGCGGAAAAGAATGCGACGGAAAAATAAGTCCCAGCACGGAGGAAAATGGGTCAATCTGGGGCGGCAGATTGATGAGTCGGCTTTACCCGGTGCTGAGTATTCCTGGGGATAAAGAGGTCGTGGCACTTCAGCTGCCAGACCAGAGCTGTTGTTCTACTCGCCAAACCGGTATATGCGAATCGCCTATTGCATCGGCTTATTGGTTCATTAAGGCCAAGCTTGGTTTTTGGTCATGAGGTCGACGGCAGTATCAGGGGCCATTTTGGCCTGGGCGATGGGGAGAGCAGTTGATGCAGCCTTTGGTGTGACGACAAAGAGCAACTCGTTTAGCATTGACACAAATGGCGGCCTGGCGTTTGATGTCAGCAAGTGAGTTTACTCTGTGTTATGATGTTTTCAGGAGAAAAAGGCAGAAAACTAACAAAATCCAGGAGCAATGGCGACATCACCAACCTCTCATACAAAGGCGTTCAGTACCAGGGAACCTCCAAAATGACCCAAATCAACTCGGGCCTCGGAACGTCCAAAGTCACTGCCGACACCGTCAACGGCATTGTGCGAATCACCGTCACCGGGGGCTCACAGCCTCTGACGCACTACTATGTGGTCAAGCCGGATGACCCAACCATTTACATGGCGACTTATATTACCGGCGAAATCAACCCGGGCGAGCTCAGGTTTCTCGCACGTCTCAAGCGCTCTGCCGTCCCCAATGGATGGCATGGTGATGCCGCCAACTTGGACGGGTGCACTGCGTTTGAGGGCAAGGATACGTTCAAGTGCCCCAACGGACAGACGCGGTGTAAGATGTACACGGCGGATCGCTTCATTGATGATCAGGTGCATGGGGTGACGGGGAACGTGAGTACATACCGGAAATACAGCAATAACTAATTAGGTGTGCTAACGGGTTGACGATAGAATGTTGGAATCTGGCTGATAATGCCGGGGACTGCCTACGAAACCTCGTCTGGGGGCCCTTTCATGCGGGATATCAACACTCAAAGCGGTGATGACCAGGAGCTGTACTGGTATATGAACAGTGGTCACGTCAGGACAGAACCCTGGAGATATGGCCTGATGGGACCGTATGCCATGAGGTTCACGTATGTTTACTAGTGCACTCAGACTCAGCCACTGGGAGACTTACTGACATCGCCAACAGCACCGGACCCAAACCCTCAGCAAACCTCGACACAAGCTTCTTCGAGACCCTCTCCATCCAAGGCTACGTCCCCGCCAGCAAGCGCGGCAGCGTATCCGGCACCGCAACCGGCGTCGCCGACGGCTTCCAGGCCGTCTTGCACTGGTACAACAACGCCTCACAATACTGGGCGATAGCCGACACCAACGGCAGCTACACCTCCCCCCTGATGAAGCCAGGCACCTACACCACGAAGCTGTACCGCGGCGAGTTCCCCATCGCCCAGGACTCGGTCACCATCACCGCCGGCGCCAAGACGACCAAGAACATGGCCTCCACCGAGGCCAACCCGCCGGTGGTATGGCGCATCGGCAACTTTGACGGGCAGCCGTTTGAGCTCAAGAACGGCGACAAGATCGAGCGGATGCACCCCGAAGATGTGCGCATGGGGTCGTGGGGCGGGAGCTACACGGTGGGCAAGTCGTCGCCGAAGGAGTTCCCCATGGCGCTGTTCTCCAAGAAGGGCGGCGATGCTACCGTCACGTTCAATGTGGCGGCGAACCAGGCCAAGGCCGAGACGACGCTCCGGGTTGGCACGACGCTGTCTTTCAAGGGTGGCCGGCCGTCAGTCAAGATTGGGACCTGGACGGGCAAGGATCCGGGTGCGCCGGTATGTATCTCTGACTTGTGTTTTGTGGGATGGTTGGCTAACAACGATGTGGGAAGAAACTCATCGACTCGCGTGGTGTCACGAGGGGTGCGTATCGGGGCTATGGGGAGGTTTATACATGGAAGGTTCCCGCTGGCACTCTGCGTGAAGGTTCAAATACATTGACACTGGGGGTTTCAGGCTCTGGCGATGCCAATTTCTTGAGTGCCAACTACATTATTGATGCAGTCGAGCTGCAGGGGCCAGCTGGTGCGGATAGTCCTCGTGCTTGAGGGGTGGAAAACATCTAAAACGGATCAAGGTTGGTGTGTAATTCTTTTTGCTACCGGCGCAACTATTTGTTTTCTTAAGCCGGTGCTATGTTGAGATGAAGTCGCAGAAACCAAGTCAACGACAAGACAGGGTTTCGTCATTCTCCTCCGTCTCTTTATCTTCACCATAACCATAGCCGCTGGGCAGCTGTGAAGTCTTCAAACTTTCCCGTGCCAACACCCTCCGCTCCAGCATGGAGAGGAGGCGCGCAATCACACGCCATGTGGCGCCCATGGCCTCCTCGACCCCGCCAGTTTCCCTGATATGCATCTCGTTGACTCTGCCAAGCAGCATTGAGACGCTTTGGCCTCGCAACAAGTAGATCCGCACTCCATTTCTTTCGAGATGGTTGGCCAAATAATATTGCGAGAGCTCGACTTTGGTCTCCTCCTCTAGCTGCCTGTCTTCGTGTTCAACACCAGTGCCATCGATGTAGAAGTTGACTCCGGAGCTGGAATCGTAAAAGAAGATGCTGCCGGTGTCATGATGCATGACCATGTGCATGGGGCTTTCGATAACTGGCATGATTGAGTTGGTAGATTCCTCGCTCACTTGGTGTCGTGAGCTTACGCTGTGATGGGAAAGAGGAAACGGCGAAGGAGGACATGACATGTAGAAAGATTGGTATGAATACCTGTGATATATAGCTGTGCACAAGCGCCCTTGGATTGGGACGAATGTGAGACAAAGAATGACATTATGTTACACGCCACGCATTGAAATTGCCTGACACAATCAGAACAAAGAGACACAAACAAGCATATTGATAAGATATCTGACCGACTCTGCCATGTATAAGGTTGACAAGCTGCTATTACCATAGTCCTCAGGCTCGACAGGGCTTGGCTTGCGAGGGGATATATATCCGTCCCAACCAACAGATGATAACCCCCCCCCCCCCCAAGTGCTGATAATGCGGTAGGGTGAGTGAGCTTTTGCCATTTTCACCTTTTCATTTTTTGTCATCCAAGCCTGATCGACATTGGTTGAAGAAACGTCATAGCCTGAGACACCTCTCAAAGATAATAAAAATAAAGTAAAAACCCTCAGGCCACCAAACACCTAACAGGCTTCGTCTCAATTTGAATGCCCGCCACTTCGTTCTTCTCCATCAACTCTCGCAACGCGACATCGCCCTCCCTTGCCAGCAACGCCTCCACGCGCGGCATCATGGCCAACACCCTCTCTCTCTGAATCCTCAGACCATCCTTCCCCATATGCCTCTGCCCCTCAAAATGCCAGTTATCGCTCCCCCTGACCCAGCACCCCATTCCATGGACATAGAACTGCACCTGCCGATCAACCTCGGCCCCCCACTGCGGACTCACCTTTTTCAATTCCTCATGACACGCCAAAAACTCAGCCACGATCCCATCATGCCACTCCCCGATATACCTCACCGCCGCCTGCGGCCCAATATCCTTCTCATGCATGATGAGGGTGACGAGGTTATGCAGCGCATGCCCCCGCGCCCTCTCAACATTATACGAATAAACATCCTGCTCTCGTCAGCACCGCCACACACTCTCTAATTAGGGACAAGAAAAGGGAACTCACATTCGTCGCACAGATGCTATCCATGGCAATCTCTCGCAACCGCACCACCAGCGGATGTCCATACACCTCCTCACCAAAGTCCAACTCCAACTCCATCAGCGCAAAACTCGGCAAACACCCCCCCGTATGCCGCCGCACCGGCCAGTACTCCTCCACGCTCCTCACCCGGTCCCCCGCGCGGTCCTCAGCCTGCTGCACCACGCTGTCGACGTACGCCTGGAAGGTGTCGATGAGGTGGCGCCGTGCCATTGGCGATGCCAAGGGGAGGGTGTTAGCCCAATACCTATTTTCCTGTTAGTGCAGTTCTGGAAAAGGGGAAAGGGGGGGAGGTACTGGCGAGCGAGCTCGGCCAGGGGAAACTCCCCCTCGGGCCGGGGCGTGGACGGGTTCCGCAGGGCGTCCATGACCACATCAGCGAGGGCGCGGGTGGCGGCGGGCGCGCTGACGTCGGTGTACTCGTCGAAGAGGTAGAAGAGGGTCATGAGCTCGCAGGCCGCGCGGAGTTGGGCTGTTTTGCTTTGATGAGTGTGGGACTGGGAAGAAAGGGGTGGACAGGGGGAACGGACCTTGGTCGAAGTAGGGGTAGGTCAGGCTGGAAAGTTTGGCTGGGTGGGTTAGTCAGAGTGAGGTTGTGTGGAGGGGCTGCGTACACAGTTCGCAGCGGTCAAAGGCGTTTTGGGACTTGGAGTCAAAGAAGTTGAAGGTGTGCACCCATGCTTCGGCGGCGGCTTTGGCCGTCTCGTAGTTGGCGTTGATCTCGCGCTTCCAGGGCCAGTTGCGGAGGAAGTCTGGGATGGTGACCATTTCAGCCGCCATTGTGAAAACCAGAGAGTCTAGAAAGTGTATGTGTTGGAGGAAGTCGATATTGGAGTTGGCTGAGAAGTTGTAGAGAGAAAAAACTGAGGCCGAAAACCTAGTCCAGTCATATATAGTAAGAAGAAACGGAGAAACTGCACCAGGGCCTTCTCCGACTCCGTGCTAGAAAAGGAGGTAATAAGAAAACAGTATCTGTCTC